TTAATCGTTTCTCGGCTGGTTGTACCGAAACAAACTGGGGTTATAATTCGTTGCTCAAGGGAATTCACGCTAAAGACAAAACTTCTCCAATAGGCAGATTCGAACCCAGCACCAGAGTTCAAAGCTGACCACTTAGGCACTGTGCCATTAAGCCCCATAAGATGAGTAATTATTAGTTGTAATAATCTTACTGACAAGTTTATCGATATCGTCGAGCACAAAGATGATCTGAAGGCCATCGATCGGAATGCTTGAGTAAATCACGCAATTAGTCAGGGCGCAGTAAATGACTCAGGTTTGATATAAACCTTGTAAAAGGATGCGATAAGTCGCAAAGCTCTTTTAAACGATTGTCCTAAACGAAAACGGGGACATCGCAATGATGCCATACGAAAGTTTCAGAAAGAACATAAAAACAACTGGAAAACGACGCTGCGAGGAAAACCCAAAGAGCAAAAGGGTCATATTAATATCGTTTCTCTGAATTCACATCGCCTTGAACAGATGCTACCTTCAGCATAAAATTCAAGGTTATTTAGCTGGTAGATATCACACCACGAATCGGATGATCACGTGTTCGAACCACGATCGGGTCACTCGTATTTTCCGTTCCGAGGTCGATAAAAGAGTACCACTCCGTGAGAAAGAAACAGAAGACAACAAGCCATGCTGGCACAGAGCTTTAGGTTCTGCTTTAAGAAAAACCACACACTCGTGAGTAATGCCATGGAAACGGTTCACGGAATGAAGAGAGCTAAATCATACGAATGAGAGGGAAACCGATATTCATACGGTTGCATTCTTTCCCTCCTTCTCGAAGCACACCGAAATGCACATCAAAATGAAGTCCGGAAAGTAATGACCAATTTCAACCATGTTTCAAAGCGACAACGAAATGAATTCATAACACTGGACAAGGTTTACCATGTACGATCTGATTACCAAATTAATGCAAATGATTCCATTTGCACATACCCTCAGCAACCTACGTCTTAATGAACAGTCGTGTTATTCGTTTGGAAGGCAATCATACGCCAGAGGATGCTTTGTAGTGGTTCATTAGGGATCGGTGTGAATAGAGACACCAAATCAGGTTTGTAATCTGAATATCTTTCTTCTAAACAAAATATTTAAAAAGAAATCGTAGCTATATCAGCAATATATAGTTAAAGATGTTGTCCTATCTGAGAGAAGGTAGATATTTTCGCGAGAAAAACTCAGTGGGGACTAATAACGTAAATAATGTCAAGAAAATGGTTATAAGGTCCCAAGGACACAAAATATTATTCTCATGATCCGCTCTCCCTATATTCCATTCTTTTCATGTTCACGTGTGCATGCACTAAATAGGTTAACGCCAGAGGCCAAGGCTTTTGTACTGTTGCACAAAGCAAGTCGGTGTAACCCATAGGTTAATGAAACGCAACTGAGGCAGGTTCAGCTGTACATATACCTCGAGGCCGCATGTGACGAGGGAACGGTATTTAGGAGGGATAGAGAAAAAATTAAAATCTTCGAAACACGCAGCAATATGGAAACTAATCCGTTTATTCGGTGATGGACAAAGAGCTGATCGGTGCTCGGTAGTTGCGTTCATTAGCTCCATCTACAAGCCAATTTTAGCCAATGAACAGGAGCTCTGAACGCGGATCGAAACAGGGCGATTACAGGTGGTCATAGATGACAGAAACGGAGTCACTTCAAACAGTTCTTGATCTAACGAGATTTGACAAGCTTCCAAACAAAGATATGGGAAATACCTTTGCTGGTTAGCCGCTAACTCTCCGTACCGAGAGATCAGGCCACCTTTAAACCAGAAAGCACGTATATGGTGAATTATGTGATCATACCCTCGCTGTACACTGGAGAAAATTCGGCCTGTCACATGTCCTTTGTTTGGAGCATACAGCTTTGCAAGATTTTAAGTAAAAGTTTTACCTCTTACCAGAAAACAAACCTCCGATGCTACTGCTTCTGTGAAACCTTCTGCAGTCGTTAAGAAAAACCACGAAAATAAGTAATAGTTTAAAATCAAATCAGGTCAGAGACAGACTCACTTAGACAACGGCAGATGAACGAACAAGCAGCAAGGCGACCGCGTAAAAAAATATGGCAGAAAATTGTCGAAAGCTGACGAGGCGTACAAAAATTCAAAAAACGTCTCTTCAAAAAACTGCATTTAGAAGAAGCAGGAGTGGAAGTGAAAAAAACATCTGAATGTTGCTTGAAGTTGCATATTCCGTCCCAGAAGGTCGAACGAAAGGCATAAGAGCCTCGTTATGACACAAAAAGGAGGCAACGGCCCGATTTCAAGTGGGTTCAAATGAGACATCGAACGTGCGAACGAACGAGTAGACTGAAACCTAGAAGTTATACATCACCACCCACTAGGCGTCGCCTGATAATCGACCAGCTGCGCTTAAAAAATAAATGCCTGGTA